TGCTGACTCGTCAGTTCAAGGACAAAGCGGAGCGTCAGCCACCAGCCCACCACAACCACAACCACCCGCACAACCAGCCTATGATGTCCAGTATCCACCAGCAAACCGTATGTGGGATTGGCAGCAAAATCCCAATTTTGTTCCCAAGCCCCACACTTTGATGATTCCAAAGTGGAATTCTACCTACTTGTCCCCTTGGAACCACGGCCAATGAACTGGAATTCTTTGAATTAATTCTTTGACCAGCCATTGATGGAAACTATTGTCAGGGAAAGTAATAAGTATTTTGAGTACACCATGGCAAATACGATCATATCACCACAGTCAAGACTACACAGGTGAAAAGAGACGACTGTTGCAGAAATGTACTTGCTTTTTGCAACAATAATGCTTATGCCTCATGTCTATAAGCATAATATAAAAGCATACTGGTCCACAGATCGGCTAATTTCTACCCCAGTCTTCAGTGAAATCATACCAGTGAACAGGTTTATCTTACTCTTACGTATGTTGCACTTCTCTGACAAAACCAGGCCTGACAGAAGTGACAGGTTATACAAGATTAGAAATGTTTTCATGTATCTCAAACAATAGTTCAGCATATACTTTTATCCATTCAAGAATGTGTAATTGACGAGTCTTTGATTTTGTTCAAAGGTAGACTGTCATTCAAGCAGTATATACCGAGCAAGAAGAAACGCTTTGGTATAAAACTGTTTGTACTCTGTGGACTGTGGACAGTGGCCTGGTGTTGGATATTGTTGTATACACGGGAAGTAAAACATTGAAAGATACCAAGATGTTATTGGGGTATCTCAGGTGACGTAGTGAGAAACATGATGCATCTTATCTTGGTAAGAGGGCATACATTATATACGATAACTGGTACACAAGCCCATTACTCAGTGATTTCATTGCGAGTGAACAAGACAGATGTGTGTGGCACAGTGCGTTCTAATCGTAAAAATTTGCCCAGGCTCAACACAGGTGCTCGTGGTGATGACGTTGCAGGTGTTTACTGCAATGACATCATGGCATTACGGTGGCATGACAAAAGAGATGTCACATGTTGACAACCATTCACCTTAATGAAATGCAAGACAGTGGCAAAGTTGATCGAGTGACTAATGAACGTATTCGAAAACCAGTGACAGTGATTGATATACACAAATACATGCGTTGGTTGACCGATGTGACATGCAGTTGGTTTTGTTGACTGTGTTCGTAAGAGTTACAGTGGTACATGAAACTTTTCTTCATCTCATGGACATTTCTATGCTCAATGCATATAATATGTACCAAATAAAGACTGGCAACAGACCACCATATGGTGAATTTTGTTTGTCTGTTGTCAGACAACTCATAATGAAGTACCAGGTAAGAACACCTGCTATACAGCAAGGTCCTCGAATTACTCCAGGATATACCCATGCGTTTGAGGAGGAAAGGTGATCATTTCATAATATAGCTTCCTTCAATCAGAAGAAATTTGCTCATGAAGAGATGCATCGTCTGTGCACAAACAAAAGACGGCAACAAAGATGCAAAGACACTCGGTTTATGTGTGAGGAATGTAAGGTGCCTCTGTGCATGGCGCCTTGTTTCAAGGAGTTCCACAAGCTCCAGCAGTTCTAAACCAGGTCCAGTGATTGTAAATATGTTAAATATATGATAGAAACATTAGATTATACAAGATTTGTGCATGTTTATTGTAATAAACAACAGTGGTAAACAATAATATGATAATAACTTTAGTGCAGTTATTGTGTTCAATACAGTGAGTTTATATATAAACATTATATACAGTATTGGTCTCTCAGGCCCCAAATGTTAGTAGGAATAGAAAAAAATTGGAAAAGAAAAGAAAAAACTTAAAAAAAAACGCTAAATAAAGTAATGCGCGTATGTGGAATTCGTCGATGTTGCCGCCACCACATCATTTTTGACAAACTTCTTGGCACTGTATCTCGGTAAGTACTGATCAGAATTTTTTTTTTTGTCTTATTACCTTCACAAAAATATGCTCTTTAATTCTGTAAGAAAAAATAATTTTTTTTTTTTCAAAATTTCTTGGACACTGGAGCACCACTTCAGATTTTGGCCTTGGACCCTGAAGGGGTTAATTGAGCTAGGCGTAGAAAGAAATTTGGTAATAAGTAATACATATTTTATGAAAAAGAGGATAAATAAATATACAAGGTATGATGTAGCACGTAATGAAAGTAATTATGTATTGGTGGATAAAAGGTTGATGGGTAGGCTCCAGGATGTACATGTTTATAGAGGGCAACTGATATATCGGACCATTATTTAGTTGTAGCTACAGTTAGAGTAAGAGGTAGATGGGACAAGCGGAAGGTGGCAACAACAAGTAAGAGAGAGGTGAAAGTGTATAAACTAAGGGAGAAGGAAGTTCGGGTGAGATATAAGCGGACTATTGGCAGAAAGGTGGGCTAGTTGCAAAGATGAGTAGCGGGGGGGGGGGGGTTGAAGAGGGTTGGAATAGTTTTAAAAATGCAGTATTAGATGTGGGGCAGAAGTTTGTGGTTATAGGAGGGTGGGGGCAGGAGGAAAGAGGAGTGTTATAAGAAGAGCAGAGTATATGGAGAGTAAAAGAAAGGTGAAGAGAGTGGTGAGAGAGTGCAAAAGGAGAGCAGATGATAGAGTGGGAGAGGCACTGTCAAGAAATTTAATGAAAATAAAAAAAAATTTGGAGTGAGTTAAACAAGATAAGAAAGCCTAGGGAACGTATGGATTTGTTAGTTAAAAATAGAGTGGGGGAGTTAGTAGATGGGAGATGGAGGTATTAGGTAGATGGCGAGAATATTTTGAGGAACTTTTAAATGTTGAGGAAGAAAGGGAGGTGGGAATTTCATGCACTGGCCAGGGAGGTATACCATCTTTTAGGAGTGAGAAGAGCAGAATGTAAGTGTGGGGGAGGTACGTGAGGCATTATGTAGAATAAAAGGAAGTAAAGCAGCTGGAACTGATGGGATCATGATCAGAAATGTTAAAAGCAGGGGGGGATATAGTGTTGGAGTGATTGGTGCTTTTGTTTAATAATGTATGAAAGAGGGGAAGGTACCTAGAATTGGCAGAGAGCATGTAAAGTCCCTTATATAAAGGGAAGGGGGACAAAAGAGACTGTAAAAATTATAGAGGATAAGTTTACTGAGTTATACCAGGAAAAGTGTACGGGTTTGGGTTATAATTGAAAGAATTAAGAGGTAAGACAGAATGTAGGGATTGCGGATGAGCAAGGAGGTTTCAGAGTGGGTAGGGATGTTGTAGATCAAGTGTTTACATTGAAGCATATATGTGAACAGTATTTAGATAAGGGTAGGGAAGTTTTTATTGCATTTATGGATTTAGAAAAGACATATGATAGAGTGGATAGGGGAGCAATGTGGCAGATGCTGCAAGTATATGGAATAGGTGGTAAGTTATTAAATGCTGTAAGAGTTTTTATGAGGATAGTGAGGCTCAGGTTAGGGTGAGTAGAAGAGAGGGAGACTATTTCCCAGTAAAAGTAGGTCTTAGACAGGGATGTGTAATGTCACCATGGTTGTTTAATATATTTATAGATGGGTTTGTAAAAGAAGTAAATGCAAGGGTGTTTGGGAGAGGGGTGGGATTATAATTATGGGAATCAAATACAAAATGGGAATTGACACAGTTACTTTTTGCTGATGATACTGTGCTTATGGGAGATTCTAAAGAAAAATTGCAAGGTTAGTGGATGAGTTTGGGAGTGTGTGTAAGGTAGAAGTTGAAAGTGAACATAGAAAAAGAGTAAGGTGATGAGGGTATCAAATGATTTAGATAAAGAAAATTGGATATCAAATTGGGAAGGAGAGTATGGAAGAAGTGAATGTTTTCAGATACTTGGAGTTGACGTGTCGGTGGATGGATTTATGAAGGATGAGGTTAATCATAGAATGATGAGGGAAAAAAGGTGAGTGGTGCGTTGAGGTATATGTGGAGTCAAAAACGTTATCTATGGAGGCAAAGAAGGGAATGTATGAAAGTATAGTAGTACCAACACTCTTATCTGGGTGTGAAGCTTGGGTGGTAAATGCAGCAGCAAGGAGGCGGTTGGAGGCAGTGGAGATGTCCTGTCTAAGGGCAATGTGTGGCGTAAATATTATGAAGAAAATTCGAAGTGTGGAAATAGGAGAAGGTGTGGAGTTAATAAAAGTATTAGTGAGAGGGCTGAAGAGGGGTTGTTGAGATGGTTTGGTCATTTAGAGAGAATGGATCAAAGTAGAATAACATGGAGAGCATTTAAATCGGTAGGAGAAGGAAGACGGGGTAGGAGTCGTCCTCGAAAAGGTTGGAAGGAAGGGGTAAGGGAGGTTTTATGGGCAAGGGGCTTGGACTTCCAGCAGGCGTGCATGAGCGTGTTCGATAGAGTGAATGGAGACGAATGGTATTTGGGACCTGACGATCTATTGGAGTGTGAGCAGGGTAATATTTAGTGAAAGGATTCAGGGAAACCGGTTATTTTTATATAGCCGGACTTGAGTCCTGGAAATGGGAAGTACAATGCCTGCACTTTAAAGGAGGGGTTTCAGGATATTAGCAGTTTGGAGGGATATGTTGTGTATCTTTATACGTATATGCTTCTAAACTGTTGTGTTCTGAGCACCTCTGCAAAAACAGTGATTATGTGTGAGTGAGGTGAAAGTGTTGAATGATGATGAAAGTATTTTCTTTTTTGGGGATTTTCTTTCTTTTTTGGGTCACCCTGCCTCGGTGGGAGACGGCCGACTTGTTGAAAAAAAAAAAAAAATGAAGTAGGCACAGTAATATGAGTGTATATTTTGTATATTAAGTTCAAACTCTTGAAGAGTGGTGGGATGTTTTCTCTTTCAGGAATTGGTGATCATGGTTATTAATGGTTTAAGGTGATTGGTCATGGCAGATCCCCATCCATTGCAATTTTGCACTATTAAATATAGTATTATAACAAATGACCGAAATTTCCAAATTTAATGTACCTTTTCTTGGTGACTATCTGCTATACCTCTAGAGGTGTCTTCAAGGAGAGTGAAATCATGGATCTCTGGTAATTCATCATCAAAATCATCTGGTATTTTTGGAACTGTAAAATAGCACACAGTATATGATACTATACATACCTTAGAAAAATATATAAAAACACACCTTTTGCACAGGATAGTTTTTTATTGCCATTTATTTAATGACTAAAATGCCTGTCATCATAAGAAATTAGTGTAAAACACAAATAACCTGCACATAGGAGAGAGGAGCTTATGATGACTTTTCAGTCCGACTTGAACCATTTACAAAGTCACACTAACTGTAACACTTAATGATAAATTAGACACATGTGCAACTCTTGGGTATCTTTATTGAGGAAACGTTTCACCACACAGTGGCTTCATCAGTCCATACAAAGGAGAATCTTGAAGAACAGGAGGAGAATGAGGTAATCAGTCCCTCAACCTTGAGTCGATGTGGTCAGTCCATCAATCTATTCAAGATTGATGGACTGACCACATCGACTCAAGGCTGAGGGACTGATTACCTCATTCTCCTCCTGTTCTTCAAGATTCTCCTTTGTATGGACTGATGAAGCCACTGTGTGGTGAAACGTTTCCTCAATAAAGATACCCAAGAGTTGCACATGTGTCTAATTTATCAACATGTCGGTTCTCTGAACCATTCATCTACAAACCTGTAACACTTAATGTAATGTCAGAAGTACAGAAGATTGCTGACAAAAGAATACTAAGACTGCATCAGTAAAATTCTGAAATCTGAAAAAGATTTATAAACAATGGCCAGCAAAGGTTTTACTTCATGAATAACTAAAGAAAGTGTAATGAACACTTGTCAATGCGCAATAATATTCCACACAGAGAAAGAAGCTCAGAAAATTAATTGATCTGTATATTTCAACCCCTGCTGGGATCCTCTTCAAGATTAAACATGTGTTTTTATCTAATTTTGAAACACTGAATTCAAATTTGAACTTATTTTTGTGCTATGACAGAGTTTCTGTAAAATGCAACACCATAGTGAACAATTTCACCAAGACATAGCCATTCTGGAGAAATCAGTGAAACCTGACAATCAGTTTGATGGTCAACTACTGCTGGACACTGCTGCAGCAGAGAGATACTTAACACAAGTGAAAAAGCCTGAAAACTGTATAAGTATCTTTGTATGACTATGGAAATTTTTGTTATTTTTGTCATGCACATATATAATTTACATAATTTACATTAAGAAAGATTAGTTTTTGTCATTGTATAATATAATACCTCTGATAATTAGGTAATACCTTATATATATAATGTGGTTCTTAATCTTTATTAGTTAAAACCTTGATCATGAGAGTTCAAGAAAGTCTTTAGTAATAAAAACTAAACACGCTCACATTCAAGATTAGTACATAAAAGTTAGTCTAACACAACCAATTTCACTTCCGAACTGGATAAAAGGTTAAGTTTTGTTGGCCAGTGTAACCATAGTTAATATAGAATGTCAGAAGAGAGAGAATTTTTTAAATTTATGTATTTATTTGCTACCTATATCATTTTAACCTTAAGAAATGAGGTATATAGTACATAAAATATCATTAACAACACCAGCTTATTATTCACAAACAAAGAAATACCAAACCTTTGTGGGTTATTCAGCAGTGCAACGAACTCTGAATCCCATTTCTATATAGCATTAATTCATGATTACTCACACAACTAGCTGGAAGAAATTCTTAAATTCTTCAACACATGTCCTAAAAGATCCTTCATAAAGTAAGGCATGGACCCCCTTTACCCTCTAGGTTAAGACATTTCTACATCACTAGTTGCAAGTCATTAGAATTATAAATATTGCTGGGAGGATATGAATAAATATAAGTACAATACATGTATATTAAATGTTGTTACAGAAAGTAACTTCAATATGCAGTAAATAATAAAATGCATTAATCCTTTCACTGTCCAGACCACCAAAATTAAAAGTGCTCATAGCGTCCGCATTAAAACAAATAAAAAGGGTCTTTTGCAATGGAAGGGAATTTTTTCCTGAAAGTAATGACACCAAAAATAAATATCTGTAGACTGTGTGTCCTATTTTAAGCCAATTCCATTACTCAACTTAACCAAATTCTTGGTTATTTTGCTAGTACAGTATACTTCCATTCCATCAGATGACTATAAGAAACCTCCCATTCAACTATCAAAAACTACCCAATAAAGTGCAAAGAATTCAGTAATTTGGCCAACTTTTTGGAAAATTAAAATAAATTCTAATTTAAAAACAGAGTCCAAAATAAACAATGCAGACATTTCTGGCACTAAAATAACATTTCATCTGTGCAATAATCATGTCCCCAAGCTTCTCCTATATTACACTTGCCTTCCATTTAGAATTCACCATCACACAAAATAATTGAAGACATACCCTATTTTTCAGATAATAAAATGTAACCAAACGTTATTTGTCATGGTTTACAACCCAATATTGGAATCAGACTTTGTAAAAGCAGGGGTGCAATGAGTACATTGAGAGACAACACAATAAGTGTCCAGGGTCCAAGACTGTTCAACTGCCTCCCATCCTACATAGACCCCCTGGCTGTCTTTAACCCTTTGACTGTTTCAGGCCCCTTCCTGAAACTGTCATTCTATGTCGCCAAATATTTGAAAAAAAAAAATTATTTTTTCTTATGAAATGATAGAGAATCTTTTCCCGATGGTAATGACACCAAAAGTTCGAAATTTGGTCGAAAACTCATGGAATTACGCTCCCGCGAAGTTAGCGGAATCGGCGACGTATGTGTATCGGTGATTTCGCCGACTTTGAGCCCTGTTTTCAGCCAATTTCGTTGTTCCAGTTGACCAAACTCATAGCTATTTCTTTAGAACTCCATTTTAAATATCAGCTGAGTACAAGAAACTGCCCATTTACCAATTGAACTACCCAATATAGTGGTCAGAAATTGGCAATTTGGCCAATTTCAGGCAAATTAAAAAAGATGCCAATTTCAAAATAGGGTCCAGAATAAACAAGGTAGACATTCCAGGCACTAAAATAGCATATCCTCTGTTCATTAGTCACATCTCTAGGCCCCTCTTATATTATTATTGCTTTCTATTTTGACTTTTTATTCATACAAAAAAATACAAAATTTACTGTTATGCAGACTACTGTATTATTTTAAAAATGATATAAATAATATCAGTGCACTAGTGAAAGAATATTAGACTCCCCAGTTGACGTGTATTGGACGTGTGGTGTGATTTGTTTACTCCTGAACATTGGTAAAAATCGAACATTTCCGCTAATTTGAGCTCAGTTTCAAGGTCGTTTTCATCGTCAAAGTAATGAAAATCATCTCTATTTCTGTAATATGTTTTCCATTTTATCACCTAAGACCATGAAAATGCGAATACAACAATAAATACTATATGAAAATACACCTCAAAGTCGGCGTTTTATTCCAAAAAAACGATCCAAGTTTTTTTTTCTCATTACACAATGTGTACTGCAGGATTTTTTTTATGTGGTGCACACTGACCACACAGACCCATTCTCTCACATGTGGGCCTACCAGCTTTCTTCCGCTTGATTTGATGCCGCTAGAATTATTGAGTATATATACGTCAGAAACATTGGCTCGTAAGACGTATTTATACGTCGAAAACAGTCAAAGGGTTAAGAAGGCACTGAACAGGCACCTAAAATCAGTACCTGACCAACCAGGCTGTGGTTCATACGTCAGCTGGCATGCGGCCAGTAGTAACAGCCTGGTTGATCAGACCCTGATCCACCGTGAGGCCTGATCTCAGACCGAGCCGCGGGGGCGTTGACCCCCAAAACCCTCTCCAGGTAAACCCATAAAACAGACTGGGAAGGGGGAAGCAATGCCTTACCCGTTTTCAGGAATAATGCCAATAATCAAATATTTCCACTATTTTGAGGCCGATTTCAAGCTACTTCCAACAACTAAAATTATCTTTATTGTAGTAGTATGTCTCCCATTTTATAAATTGATACCAAGAAACAGCCAATAAAACCATAAAAAATCATCCTAGACAAGACCTTAAATTTGCTATTTGAAACTAAATACTGTACATGGTTAGAGTTTTGCTTTTCCCAATCATGCACTATGTGAGGCAGAATTTTTTTTATACTGTGCACACTCACCACCCAGACTCATTCTCCCATATCTAGGCCAAAATTTACCGCTCACGGTTTATCTAAGTGATCTGAAATCATGACACAGACCTACATGACAGACCCTGGCGTCACTGACAGTTCTATGTGACAGACAGCCGAAGGGTTAATTAGAAACATGGAAGAATATTCGAACTTCAAGACATTGTATATAAATCAGATATACACGAGAAAGAGTGAGATCCTTTATACACGTAATGTAACTCATTTTATTACCACAATCATATAAAAAACAGATATAGTGTAGTAACAGATTTACAGTATGAGATGATGTTGGTAACTTACACCTTTGTTTGTTAATCTTATCACTAAGAACAAAAAGGTCATCATCTTCAACAATCTTTTTTTCTTCGTCACAATTACTTTCCTTGTCAACACTAAGGAATGGCTGCGATACCAATGATTTCAGACGAGTTCTCAGATCAGGTACACTGAAATGCAAACAATGCATGCCTGAATTTCACATAAAAACAAAATAAAAATACATCATATATGATTAGTTTTTATAATGACAAATTATGCTCATTTAATGTTCTACATATCTTGAAATCAAACAAATTCAATGAAAATTGTTTAACAATATTTATCAGATTTAAAATAAAAATGCTGAGCACTCATGGCATGCAGCACCACTGAGATTTTCTTCATAAATTGTTTTATGATCTGATTTGTTCTTTTACAAGATATTTAATGCAATGGCATTTTTTTTTTTAACACATCGGCTGTTTCCCACCAAGGTAGGGTGGCCCAAAAAAAAGAAAAACTTTCATCATTCACTCCATCACTGCCTTGCCAGAGGCATGCATACACTACAGTTATAAGACTGAAACATCAACACCCCTTCAGAGTGCAAGCATTGTACTTCCCATCTCCAGGAATTAAGTCCAGCCTGCTGGTTTCCTTGAATCCCTTCATAACTGTCACCTTGCTCACACTCCAATAGCACATCAAGTGCTAAAAACCACTTGCATCAATTCACTTCTATCTAACACGCTCATGCATACTTGCTGGAAGTCCAAGCCCCTCGTACACAAAAACCTCCTTTACCCCCTCCCCCCAGCCTTTCTTAGGCCAACCCCTACCCATCAAAGGAACCATCCACCCCAGATTTATATACCCTCCTAGTTATCCTATATTTCTCCATCCTATTACTGAACTGTATTGTACTGTACTTTATTGTAATTCCATAAATTAGTTCAATTCACCCCCTTGAAGGGAATAAATATGATTAAGGGTAAAATTAAATGACTAACTGAAAAATCTGTAATAGCTGCTAGTGTATTTCTGGAAACACCTTCCTTTACAACTACATAAACAGATTAAATACCGTATACAGACATGTAAAGGTTAGCCCTGTTACAAAGTATGAAAATTGCAATACTGTATGTGTTAAAGTACAGTACAGTACAGTAGTTGACATTTGATAAATTTCAATACTAATAAGTATGTTGAATGTTTGCATATGGTAAGTTGTTTAATGTAATCCACTGAGTAAATTACTGAATGTGTTTAATATTTGTCCATGACAAGTGTAATTATAAACAAACATGACAAGTGTAATTATAAACAAACATGACAAGTGTAATTATAAACAAACATGACAAGTGTAATTATAAACAAACATGACAAGTGTAATTATAAACAAACATGACAAGTGTAATTATAAACAAACATGACAAGTGTAATTATAAACAAACATGACAAGTGTAATTATAAACAAACATGACAAGTGTAATTATAAACAAACATGACAAGTGTAATTATAAACAAACATGACAAGTGTAATTATAAACAAACATGACAAGTGTAATTATAAACAAACATAAATAACAAAAAGGCACAATACCGTGACTGGAACGATACACAAATAACCCGCACATAAAAGACAGAAGCTTACGACGACGTTTCGGTCCGACTTGGACCATTGACAAAGTCACACTAACAGAGGTGGAGCAGGACGGCTATATACAGTGGACCCCCGGTTAACGATTTTAATCCGTGCAAGAGGGCTCATCGTTATGCGAAATAATCGTTATGCGAATTAATTTTCCCCATAAGAAATAATGGAAATAAAATTAATCCGTGCAAGACGCCCAAAAGTATGAAAAAAAATTTTTTTTACCACATGAAATGTTAATTTTAATACACACAAACTGAAAAAGGCATGCACAATTACATGACACTTACTTTTATTGAAGATCTGGTGATGATTGATGGGATGGGAGGAGGGGAGAGCATTATCTTCTTACTGTTTAGAAGGGGAATCCCCTTCCATTAGGACTTGAGGTAGCAAGTCCTTTTCTGGGGTTACTTCCCTTCTTCTTTTAATGCCACTAGGACCAGCTTCAGAGTCACTGGACCTCTGTCGCACAACAAATCTGTCCATAGAGCTCTGTACCTCCCGTTTCTTCAAGACTTTCCTAAAATGGGCCATAACATTGTCATTGAAATAGTCACAAGCACGGCTTGCAACAGCTGTGTCAGGGTGATTTTCATCTATAAAGGTTTGCAGTTCAAACCACTCTGCACACATTTCCTTAATCTTTGAAGTAGGTACAATGGATTCCACAACTGGCATAGGCTTCTCAGGGTTAGCCCCAAACCCTTCAAAATCTTTCTTAATTTCCATACTAATTCTCACCCTTTTTACCACAGGGTTGGCACTAGAAGCTTTCTTGGGGCCCATGGTCACTTATTTTCCAGAAACACCACCGAAAACACTGTAATAATACGAAATATTCCGAGTGTATGCTTGGATGTTACCGCGGAGGCTGGCTGGTAAACAATGGGACGGCCGGCACATGTGAGGGCACATTGGACGCGTCTCGGACGAAAATCGGTATGCGGGTTTTTAATCGGTATGCGGGGCAAAAATTTTGCGATAAAAGTAATCGTTATGCGGAAAAATCGCTATGCGATGCCATCGTTATGCGGGGGTCCACTGTATAGGCAGGAAGAGGTGGAGGTAGTAGTAGTAGTAGTAGTAGTAGTAGTACAAGAATTGTATATAATACCGACAGGATGAAATGACACATGCACAACACCCGGGCATCCCCACCGTAGACGTTTCGCCATCCAGCCAGCCACTGGATGGCGAAACGTCCACAACAAAGACAACCAGACGCTGCACATGTGTCTTAATTTCATCAGTAGTTGTAGTAGAAGAAGAAGAGGTAGTAGTAGTGGTAGTGGTAGAACTGGGAAATAAGGAAGACGAGCCAGTCAAATACAAAGGAAGGGAGCACTGCAGAGAGCTAGAAACCCACAGAGGGAGAGCAAGCGCACCGAGGTGCATGAAAGGGGAAGTGGTGAAATAAAATAAAAGAAGAAGGAACAGAAACACGAGACAGGAGAGAGAAAGACCACCCAGAGGAGAAAAGGAGAGAGGAAAGGGGAAGAGGAAGAAGAAAAAGAAGAATAAGAGGAAGAAGAAGAAGAAGAAGAAGAAGAAGAAGAAGAAGAAGAAGAAGAAGAAGAAGAAGAAGAAGAAGAAGAAGAAGAAGAAGAAGAAGAAGAAGAAAAAGAAGAAGAAGAAGAAATGAGGATTCAGGTTAAGTCACGGGTGTTCTGAAGTTTGGAGCATTTTACAATGTAGTGGGAGGGAAGGCATCTACAGAGACGAAGCCAGGGCTAAGGTTCATACAAGGAAAGTTGTGTATAAGAGAGGATTCAACTAGACGGCGGCTGTTCGAGTTGGAAGTAGGGAAGACAGTTTTAGCAGAAGACCAGTCAATAGGATGGCTATGATCTCTGACGTGACAGAAAAGAGCATTGTTAGTGTCGGCAAGCCTAACACTATTTTTGTGCTCCCTAAGTCTGTCAGAAAGAGATCGACCAGTTCCTCCGAAGTATTGAAGAGGACAGGAGGAGCAAGAAATAGAGTAGACACCAGGAACATCTGTAGAGGGAGGAGAGGTATGAACGAGATTAGTGCGAAGAGTGTTAGTCTGGCGGAAGGCAAGCTTGATGTCTAAGGGGCGGAGAGAACTGTTGAGATTAGAAACACCGGAAATGTAGGGAAGGCAGAGGATAGAAGAGTTCCCATGAGTAGAGAGTTTGGGAGAGAAGAAATTGCGTTTAGCACGTGAGAGGGCAGAGTCTATGAAATGGGAAGGGTAGCCAAGACGGGAGAACGAATTATGAAGAGTGGAAATTTCTGCTGGAAGGAACTGAGGATCACAGATGCGGAGGGCACGGAGAAAGAGGGAGATAAGAACACTTTTCTTGACAGGGGAAGCATGATAGGAAAAGTAGTGAATGTACATGCCACTGTGCATAGGTTTACGGTAAACGGAAAAGGAAAAACCTGTATCTGAGCGGTGGACATGGACATGAAGGAAAGGAAGTAAGGAATTAGAGTCCCATTCAGCTTCAAACTTAATGGAAGGGGCAAGATTGTTAAGACCTTCAAGAAAAGGTTGGAAGAGACTGGAGTCATGAGGCCACAGAGCAAAGATGTCATCCACATAGCGGAGCCAGAGTGAAGGTTGCACATCGAGGGTAGGAAGAAGAACAGTCTCGAAGTATTCCATGTAAAGATTAGCAAGGACAGGAGAGAGAGGAGAGCCCATAGCGACACCGAAGGTTTGAGAATAATATTTCCCTTGGAAGGAAAAGGAGTTAGAGTCCACACAGAGGCGGATCAGATCAAGAAAGACATCAGTGGGGATAGGGAGATGAAGAAACCCTTCATGGGCCTTCTCTCTAAGGAAATCAAGGACATCATCAAGAGTGTTAGGCTTGCCGACACTAACAATGCTCTTTTCTGTCACGTCAGAGATCATAGCCATCCTATTGACTGGTCTTCTGCTAAAACTGTCTTCCCTACTTCCAACTCGAACAGTCGCCGTCTAGTTGAATCCTCTCTTATACACAACTTTCCTTGTATGAACCTTAGCCCTGGCTTCGTCTCTGTAGATGCCTTCCTCTCCCACTACATTGTAAAATGCTCCAAACTTCAGAACACCCGTGACTTAACCTGAATCCTCATTTCTTCTTCTTCTTCTTTTTCTTTTTTCTTCTTCTTCTTCTTCTTCTTCTTCTTCTTCTTCTTCTTCTTCTTCTTCTTCTTCTTCTTCTTCTTCTTCTTCCTCTTATTCTTCTTTTTCTTCTTCCTCTTCCCCTTTCCTCTCTCCTTTTCTCCTCTGGGTGGTCTTTCTCTCTCCTGTCTCGTGTTTCTGTTCCTTCTTCTTTTATTTTATTTCACCACTTCCCCTTTCACACACCTCAGTGCGCTTGCTCTCCCTCTGTGGGTTTCTAGCTCTCTTGCAGTGCTCCCCTTCCTTTGTATTTGACTGGCTCGTCTTCCTTATTTCCCAGTTCTACCACTACCACTACTACTACCTCTTCTTCTTCTACTACAAGTACTGATGAAATTAAGACACATGTGCAGCGTCTGGTTGTCTTTGTTGTGGACGTTTCGCCATCCAGT